TGTACGATCTATGTTTTCTGGTATTTCGTTACGCGTACAATGGATATGTTCGTTTAGAAACGTGAAACATTTATTGTTTGAGAATGAGAGAAACTTTTTGTGGTCAGAAATGTAGATTTTACAGTTTATTTATTGGATGTTGGTTTATGTGCAATTAATATCTTACGGAATGATTTTGTAGTACGAAGAATGTCAAGAGTGATGAAATTACAATTGAATTTGGTTCTGTTTTGAAGTTATTAAGTTTCTGAAAATTTCCCGACACTGGATTTCAATAGATAATAATTGCAAAGTAAAGCTAAAACTATGCTTTTGTCATTCTTGATTTTCTTCTTATTGCGATATGTGAAATTATGTTTTAAAATCTATGTTACATGTTTGCCTTAGAAAAGTCATACATTAACTGTTTGCAATCAGATTATTTTTATATTGCCTTCCATCAACTGAATCATGATAACTATAATTTATAATAACAAATTTAAGATAACTTTCCATTTGAAAAAATAATACATAAATATTTATCATTTATACATAAATTTATTGAGCAAATTCATAAAATTTTACATTTACTCATGGCAGCTACGCTAGACTGTAAATGGTTAATGATTCGTTTAGATTTGAAAACATAAATTCATCAATTAATGAACAGAATTCTGTCTTAACCATGAAATTTTCATCTTTCTGTGTTATGTTCGAAATATCAGTTATTAACGTTTCTAAACTAACATATCGTTTTTGTATACGTCGGAGTATCGAAAAATTGAGGTTGTATAAAATTGCTATTTTTTGTATAGAGTTATTAAAAAAATCTAGTTATGCGAACATGTTTCTGACTCGTTATACTCGAAATGGGAACTGTTGAATGCCACCGACGTATTTGACCAATGTAATATTTGAATAACAGCTTACAGAATGATTCCAGCTATTCCTAATTTATTCTAACTATTAATCATTGAAAACATTCTATTTTCAAGTTGTTCCTTTTTAAATGTAAGATATTAGCAAAATTGTTTAAGATTTACGCCAATGCAGGATGTTTATAATTCGTGAAAAACGATATTATCTACCGGAATGGAAAAGAAAGGAAAGAATATAAGAATTTTTTATAGAACTCTTACTTGAAGAACTCAAATTTATAATTTTCAATTTTATAATTTTTTTTTATTCATATATAAGCATATTTTAAAATGATTTAATTTTTGAATTTTATTCTTTTAGTACAATATTTATCGTGTATCAGCGTAAATTACACCGAATATCCCCTCACTTCTTTTTTAGACTCACCGTAAATAAGCTGCTTGAAATCGATGACCCTACTGCTGCCGGGTTGTATCTCTGCTCTTAAGTTCTTTACACTTCCATTTTCTTTCTCTTCCACGTTTCACTTCAACATCGAACTGAAGAAGAGTACTTAGGAGTTACTAACCGAATACAGAAAGTTTTGTTTCGTGTACACATGGCTGGTAACCAGAATAATGCTCAACGCGTTACCATGTTTATTCTTAGCTTTATTGGTCTTACAAAAGTTTATAAACTGTTACTAAAAAAAAATGAATTTAACCTTAAAGACTTCTGATTATCATTTTTGGATAATACTACCTTTTATTGACAAAGAAATTTCATTTGAAATTTTAATTTGTAAGAGTAAAACGATTGCTTCCAATATTACAGAATTTTACTTCCAATGCTTCATTAATATTTATTAAATTTTACGACTAACAGATCCCATTACGATAATATTTTGTTGTGATTATAAACAAATTACAATTTAGGAGTTGTGATGTTTTATGATTTATATTCGTGTATGAATTCATGTAGATACACATCGTGAAATATATTTTTTCCTCACATCAGTGACTTAAACGCCAATAGCTATTGACAAAGTGAGTTAAATGGGCTATCTTATACAAAAATTGTAGTATCTATATTTTATACTATTTTAGTATAGATGTAATAGAAACTAATAGATTAATCTGATCTCTTAAATCAAGATTCGTTCAAATATAATAATTTTAATATTATGTAATTGCCGCAATGAACATAAAAAGAAATCTTGATCAACAATCAAGGTGTCCTGTAACCAGTGATTCAACCCAAAAAACGAGTGATTTAACATGAAAAGTGAAATCGAAAAATTAAATGTGGATGTATGTTGAGCGTGAAAAAGCAGAAATAAA